CCGGACGATTGGCATTCTTATTTAAGCCTGACATAGTTGTATGACCGAGCATGGCAAGAATAGTATCTCATACCTCAATGGTAGTAAGGGCATCCAACCGGTGGAAGTTCTTCTGTACAATTTGAAGAGGGTTTCAGTCTAAAACGCCTTTTAACAGACTTTTGTATACTATTGAAATAGAGCTTTGGGTTTCAACCCTAACCCTGTTCACTAAGTAGCCTCTTCTCTTAAATGAGCGCTTTAGCTCAGAAAACAGCTAACCTACCCTATTTATAACAGAACGCTAGTCAGATGCGTAAATCTAATGGAAATGAGCTAACAAATTACACAAAGACGCTGAAACCATTGATAGGCAGGTTCATTTCTAAGAAAACCAGAATGACATACCTGGGGAGAGTTTAGAATTTGCCGACATTCTAAAGATCTCAAGTCCTTTTCATAAACCGGGTTCATAATGCTGTAAGAGGACCATCTCAGAATAAAGCCCAACTTCTAAATTCTAGTGAGCACCTACCCATTCATTGATGTCAGTTTTTTAGTTACGTTTGAAAAACGGTTGGAAAACGCCCCATTCAAAACGGGAGAATACAATTTCGTCCATCGCCTGAGTTTTTAAATCTTATCAGTCACTAATTGGGGGTGTTTCGATATATCAAAATTAAGCACTATAGCGAGTCTTAGAGGACACAAACATGTTTATTCATATTCTTTGTTTGCGTCCTCTAAGACTCGCCATCATGCTGAATTGTTTTAGAACTGTGACTGCTCTAAAACAATAATCAATGAAACATTGTGGTGGTGATTGATCTTAGGCAAATAAAAAAGCTTAAAAACAAGACCGTAATTATCGTATTGACGCAAAGCAGGGGCACCCAACGACGGTTTTCTGTAAAATATCTGGTCGGAGAAGTAAATATTGCCTAGAATTTTCTTTTATTTGAGGACAATAGCTAAAAATTTCTAGATGACCGTTCCATTCATGAACAATTTTCGGTAATAAATTCCCCACGATTTTCTAAAGTAAGTTTAATTTTTCACATTTCACTCCCTAGGTTAGGCTATTTTTCGTAGAAAAAAGGAAACCTAAAATTATTTTTGGATTAAAAAATGTGATGGAGAGAGGAATCAGAAAAATTTTCACTTTCGTAATACGTTAAATTGCATCTAAAATTTTGGGGACAATAATACAGAAGCCCTTGTAATGTCGAAAAGACTCAAGCACCCCTAGGATGACTGAATAGATATAAAATGTATTTCTAGAGATCAAAAAGCACTCTGGATAGCCTAAAAAGTGTTTTCAATGTATTGAGGAGGAAACCGTCGTTGGATGCCCCTAGCAAAGCGCACTTAATTCCAGAGAACACTTTTATTTATTTATCACAATTTAATAGCAAAAGGTTTCAGGTAAGTGATAAATACAAGGCATTCTCATAAGGACGGTCTGTAAAAGAGTCAAAGACCCCATAAAAGACAGACCACTTTTTAACAAATATTCATATCATAAAAACTAAAATTAAATAAGACAAACAATTAAAAATGTGAAAATGCATATGGAGATATAGTCGTTGCCTGACGAACAAGCAATGGTAGAGTGCTCCACATGTCCACGATCCTACTGAAAAATCTAAACTTAAATGTATTAGTTCTAGCATAATTCTTTTTAAGAGTACATTCATCTTTTCCCCTTAAAGGATACCGATCAGAATCTGAGAAAAACTGTACATATGTAGATAGATCAATATTTATATAGCCATTCAGGGCTTTATACAGGAATAGTACGTCAAATAAAAATCGCCTTTGTTCTAACGACAACAAATTGAGCTTTCTTCTCCGTTGTTCGTAATCATCATGGTCTTCAAAATAAACTTACTATAGTTGCCCTTCGCCGAATTCGCTTTAACTTAGAAATGTTTCTAGATGTGTGTCCTGACCACACAACACTGCAATACTCTAGCTGTGATCTGACCAGGGCAAGATACAGAGTTCTCAATGTGGAAACATCTTGAAATCCTTTACAGGTCCCTTAGACCTAGGATCTCGTTGGCCTTGTTCGACATTTTATCAATATGAGTGCTCCAAGACAGATTGCAGATTGCATTAGTTCACATTTCTTCACGTTAAACTCCCTAAGGTTTTGTTGACTCCATGCATATAAATTGTCGAGATCTGCGGGGCCGGGTTGTTCGAAGCTGGGTTAAGGTAACCCACGGTTAGTGCGAAATTTGAACTCGGATATGAGAGCTTAAAAAGCAAATTCAGTTTTATTTTCTTTGCCTACAATTTGATGACTGGATACTCTAAAAAGAATAGAGAAAAATATCCGATAGTGTGCTTTTGATAAAAAGAAAAGAAACCTGGGTTAAAATTTAACCCCGGGTTAGCGCTAACCGGCGTTCGAACAACTCGGCCCTGACTGAAATACGGAATGATCAGCTGGACAGTTTATAATCCTGGATGTTTTGCAGTCGTCAGCATATAATGACACACAGTTTCCAGGCATTACTACTTCAGGCTCACCAATGAAAATTACAAAAAACAAAGGGCCCAATAAGGAGCCCTGAGGTACGCCAGATGGAATAGCACACCATGTAGAATTTATTCCTTCTATGAAAACTCTCTGTTCTCATTCAAAGCGCACGGGAGATACCAAAATTACACATTTTTGCAGCAGGATATTATGTGCCACTCTGTCAAAAGCCTTTGCAAAGTTCAGAAAGACAACGTCCACCTGTTTGCTCTCATCCAAGGCCTTTGACCATTGATGGTGTGACAGAACTAACTGAGTAATATCATATTATAACTTAGATATCTATTTGGCATTTCATCACGTTTGTCAAGATCAGTACATTTACAAAGTTTATCAAACCAAAGTAATACTCGTGTTGATGTAAGACAGGTAAGTAATTGAGCTTATTTGAAGCAAGCGTGAATTGAAGGGCAGGTCTTGACGAGAGTAGCAAAAGTCACGTAGAACGAAAGAAGCCCTGACAAATATAGTAGACATAGGTTCAGAAGGTCTATACAACTTTGACGTCTCCACTATGAGGACGACTAACTGGTCCTGGCTATCCCCTCTCCTTGTGCTCCACGCTCAGCTCATGCTTCACCTTCCCCCGTAATGTATCAAAATGGCGCCTGCTTTAAAAAGTACAATTATCGCCTGTTCACTTTAGGGTCTCAGACAAGACTACTTCATTGAGATCCTAGGTATATACATTTATGTACAGCTGTGACAGTAGTTGTCAACTTGAACATATTTCCTCTCAGTTTACAAGTTCTTTGTTTCCGTTGCATCTTCGCCATCTTTCAAACTGCTCTTATCAAATGCACCTGCGATAGAAATAAAAAAAAACAATCATGACGGTTCCCTTTTGTATGTATTCTTTGCACGATTTATTTTAGCCATCGATCAACATGCTTCTGTTGCCTGTTGCGCTAAATGTTTTACCTAAATATCTGGCACAGATTTTTTCAAAGTCGAACAAATAACAAAACCTTTACATTTTGAGGAATCATTTGTATGCTAAAAATTCATTTGAGTCATATTGTATCACTTTCAGCTTAAATGTGATTCGTATAATATTCGCACTGCATACCTATTGTTCCGACACGGAGAAATAAGTTGTGGGAGGCAACCGCGACTGCCAGGACAATAAGCATGCCGAATAATGAGAGTAAGCGACGTCAACCGCCACCAGGGGAGGTGGGAGGGGCGAAACTTCTAAGTCGCTTCCACTGAACCCCGTTGAACTAGCCAAGAGGCGGGCAAAAACTAAGCAATTCTAACCTAGGGCCGCAATGCATCATGCCACGAGCGTGCAGGCCCAACACCACGGAATTTAAAAGAGTTACTTAATTCCCGCGTCACCGGTCAGTTATGTATGTAGTGAAAATATTTTACTTTATTTCAAATTCCACCTACTCGTTTGGTGTTTGTATACTGATCAGATTATAGCTTGAAGCAGGAGATTGATATCAAACCAACCATGCTATCCCTTGCCGCCCGAGCAGCCCGAGCAGCCTGTGCAATGGTTGCTTAGGATATCAGCCATCTCCTCTGGTACAAAATCGCGACTACGAAGAGAACTAAAGCAAAGCGTATTGTAAAACTCAATCGAATCGAATGGGATACTTTCTTGGGGGCATATTAAATCTTTCGACTTCTCCGCTGAACAAGTATCAAGGCGATTGATGACAAAAAACCTCCTTTTAACAAGACACGAAATCGACAAGGGATTTGCCCTTAGCTCATTTGCCAGAAAAATACATGTAGTATAAAATAGAAGTTTCAAAATCAAATGCTCCTGCAGCTACTTTGGCTAGATCAAGTGCCCAGGGAATCTTTCCGTCTGCTTTTAAACTCTCGCCCACCGGTAATTAGTACGTATACCCTCTGCGCTATATCTGGTTCCCTGAGGATGAATCTTTTTAAGCCTAAAAATACTGGCAGCGTTTTTTTAGTCTGTTCCAGGCTCTCAGATAGTAGGGATGAAGGGGTAAAAGGCGTGCGGACCGACTCAGTCACAGAGCCTGCAACAGGCCACATTTTGTCTTTCATCAGGTACACCCTCAAGAAAAAGTGTGTTTAACACTTACTTCTCTTCTGTATGATTTACTAATACAGTGAAACCTGTATTAAGCGGCCACCCTGTATTAAGCGGACACTACAGCATTCCCCGAGGGTGTCCGATTAATACAGGTTTCACTGTAAATTGTTTTCGTATGCTATTTGGAATCTCAACTATCGTTTACTACATTTTTATTTTAGTTAGTTAGAGATTCGAGCATGCTTTGCGAAATATTCCATACAAATCGGAAACTAATGGAATTCGGCCTTCTCTCCAATTGCCTCACTTCTATGAACAGGGTTGGAAAACACAATAAAAAAAACTAAGAAAACTCAGCATAACTCCCTTAATAATATTTTCCAAATGATGCGTAGTGTCACGAACATCAATTTCACAAATTTTGATTAAGATAACTAAAAAACCTAAAAATGATATCAAATACAAACCTTTGAATGTCACATTATCTCCAATCAGCATAAAGGGCGCCCACTGCTTGACGTCAGGAAAGCGACTCTCTCTCATCGACTTCATGGCCTGATGAAGAGATTCACTGGCACTTTCACCACGAACAAGGTGCTGGTAAAAACAATTCATAAACCACTCGGTAGCTTCGTCATCTACAGCCCACAGCGCCGCCAGCACGGCGCGTGCACCCGATGCTAGAAATGCTCGAGCGATTCCAACAATTCCCTCAGCTCTAATCTGACCACGTGCACTATGACAGCAGCTAAGGACAACCAGCTTGGCTGTTAGTCGAACTTGTGAAATTTCAGCCATCGTTAATAAGTAGTCTTCTTCGTGTGGAGTTCCGCAGGAGCTTATAGGGGAAAGAGCTATTTCTCCACGTTCGGCATAACCATGAGCAGCGAAGTGAATGAGACTTACTGAATGCAAGCTTTCCAGGACTGCCTGCTTAGTTGCATCCTTTCCAAGCAACGGTTGAACACCGAGCAGTCGCCCGATCATCTCTGCTTCCTTTCTCGCCCCAGGCAGTGGCGGTAACTGTCGACTTTTTCCTTGGTAGTATACAATACTAACGTCTGGCTCTCCTACGATCAGTGCACCAGTTTTACTATGGTAGTCTGCTGGACTGAGCTGAATCAACTTAAGAGTCGTCAAGGAAGGGGCAATGCGAATCCTGAAAGTATCCGATAAATACTTTTCATTACCATCCTTTAAAGCAGCAAAAGGAATAGGATACAACAAGTTATCCGGTATAATAATGATTTCTGATTCTTGGAGTAAGTCAGCTACAGGAGCGACTATCATGGTGTAACCAACAGCAAGGGTTAAAGGTTTAGAGTCGTGATTTTCGTCTTCCTCTTCTTCGATAAGACGCAAAGATTCGGAACTGTCACTCTGAGATTGTTCGCATGATAGCGGGGAACTTACACATGAAAATAATGATCGATCTTCGCATTGGTCTTGACGTAAATCAAGAGAGCCACCAAGTGTCTGATTTCCAAACACTTTATCTGCACTTTCTTTGAGTCTCGTTTGTCGAAAAGCTATCATTTTGTTTGGCTTGAGGATCCAAAAGTACATATTATCCCCGAAGCAGGAAACATAAAGACAAGAACTAAGTGCATTTTTGTTCATAATGTTCTCAATACCAGTCCATGACTGTGGGTTGACTGATACCCCTTTTTCCACAGAGTAATTATCTGAAAGTACGTCTGTCAGTGCTCTGGATCGTCCAAGCTCGGCAACGTAAAGAGCTTCATAATAATTGCCTGTAGCAATTAACAACCTACAAAGAAGAAGGTAAGGGGACACATGCTCATCAAAAAAAGAAATTTTGAATTGATCTTTCGCTCTTAAAAAATCATGCATTTCTTCGCACTTCTGAATGCTTTCATACAGATTTCGCAGAAGTTTAGTTATGCTTCCTCCTGCCACTAACTCGTTCAGAGCAATGGTAAGGTGGCTGTTAAACTGCATTTCAATGTCCCCTATTTCGTAACTTATCTCAAGTGCTTTATTAGCAAATTCTTGACTCTTTGCAGTAAGTTGAAATTCCGGACAAAGTTTTGCCAGATTTAAGTATGAAGCTCCAACACCAGCTTTGTCTCCGATTTCTTGTTTGATCACTAGTGCTTTTTGAAGGTATTTTTCAGCCTTGGTATATTGACCAACAGATTTAAACACAGTTCCTAGATTTCCGTAATCTGCTGCTTCTCCTTCTTTGTCACCGATTTCTGTCCTGATCACTAGTGCTTTTTGAAGGTATTCTTCAGCCTTGGTATATTGACCAACAGATTTAAACACAGTTCCTAGATTTCCGTAATCTGATGCTTCTCCTTCTTTGTCACCGATTTCTTTCCTGATCACTAGTGCTTTTTGAAGGTATTCTTCAGCCTTGGTATATTGACCAACAGATTGAAACACAGTTCCTAGATTTCCGTAATCTGTTGCTTCTCCTTCTTTGTCACCGATTTCTTTCCTGATCACTAGTGCTTTTTGAAGGTATTCTTCAGCCTTGGTATATTGACCAACAGATTCAAACAGAGTTCCTAGATTTCCGTAATCTGCTGCTTCTCCTTCTTTGTCACCGATTTCTTTCCTGATCACTAGTGCTTTTTGAAGGTATTCTTCAGCCTTGGTATATTGACCAACAGATTGAAACACAGTTCCTAGATTTCCGTAATCTGTTGCTTCTCCTTCTTTGTCACCGATTTCTTTCCTGATCACTAGTGCTTTTTGAAGGTATTCTTCAGCCTTGGTATATTGACCAACAGATTCAAACACAGTTCCTAGATTTCCGTAATCTGCTGCTTCTCCTTCTTTGTCACCGATTTCTTTCCTGATCACTAGTGCTCTTTGAAGGTATTCTTCAGCCTTGGTATATTGACCAACAGATTCAAACACAGTTCCTAGATTTCCGTAATCTGCTGCTTCTCCTTCTTTGTCACCGATTTCTTTCCTGATCACT